CCACTTGAGCCACAGCGCCACTTCCAGCTTTTTTCTTTTTGCTTATGTGGTGCTGAGGAATCGAACCCAGGGCCTTGAGCATGCAAGGCAAGCGCTCTACCACTGAGCCACCTTCCCAGCCCTTGCATTCATTTCTTAAATCCTCCAATATATTATTCATTCAGGGCTCATAAGTAATTTTCAAGGGTAGATGAGTATCAGTCTTGAGAAAAGCTAAGTGTAGATATTTATTGTTAATGAGGGATCAGGAAGCTACTTCTTTGTTTTTGGCAAAATTTCCTGGTAAATTTTAGTATTTGTTCAATTCTGTCTTCAAGAATACATTGTAAAATATCTTAACCTCTCATTAACAAATACCAGCATTTAATGATTGCAGTTATACCGTGTTAACATTCTTGTTGCTTTCTTTGCAGCACCAGGTCACAAGCATGTACCTGACTGGGTTTGGGTAGTCGTTGGCATCCTCAACTTTGTAGCCTATACTCTAGGTAAGAAGTTGTAAATACTCATTGTAGTCAATGTTTGGTGAATCAGCAAGGAGAGCCACCTACAAAATTAACTTTCTCCTATGCTTACTTTATTTTAACTAGAGTGTATAAGTGTTCTGTTTAAATTATAAATATGATTTTGGGTCTCTATGAAAAACACTGTCAGGGTTAGAGGTATGGCTCAGGTGGTAGAGTGCCAGCCAACTGATTGAAAGCTTCAGATCCCGAGTTCAAATCCCAGTCTTGGGATAAAAAAAAAAAAAAGAAAAACAAAACCAAAAATGGCTGCATTCAATGCTAGGGATTCATAGAATAAGAGGAGATGGCAAACCACTTGTTGCAGGCCAAATCTGGACCATTTTCTGTGTTCCAAGGTAATATTTTACTGGAGCACAGCTATGTGTGTTCCTTTACAAATTGTCTGTGCTTGCTTTCCTGCAAAAAGACATCATTGAGAAGTTGTAAGAGACTCATAAAGCCAAAAATATGCATTATCTGGCCCTTAACACAAAAGATTTAGCCAGTTTTGGAGTAAGAAAGTAATACTGACATAAAAAATAATTGCAGATTGGTGAGAGATGTTATAATCAAGAACCATGAGAGAACAAATAAAGAATGTTTGCTTTTTACTCATAAAAGGAGTAGTTGGGGAAGGCTACTGTACTGGGCACATCCATACGCTGTTCTGCCAGAGTGCTCTGGAACATTCCTCAGTATCTATATCCTTCCCTGCTTTGTATTTCTCCAGAGCTCTTAACAGTTGTGTAATATGTCATCTGCTCCTTTGCCTACTTGTTTGTTATCCTTGTGTTCTAATTAAAATGCTTTATCCCCAAGACCTGTGTTAGTACCTGGCACATAGAGGTACTTGGTATGTAGTTTAGAATGTATGTCAGCTAGCAGACCTGATTTCAAGTCACTTAGATCTTTCAAGTAGAAATGAATTGTGTGTGTGTGTGTGTGTGTGTGTGTGTGCGCGCGCTCGTGCGTGTGCGTGCATGCGTGCGCGCCACAGCACCACTTCCAGCTTTTTCTGTGTGGTACTGAGGAATCAAACCTAGGGCTTCATGCATACTAGGCAAGCATTTTACCACATTCCCAGCCTGAAAAAACTTAAAAAAAAATCTAGTACAACCTGTCAGGTGTATTAAGAACAGGCATGGTGAATGGCCAGAGTTTGAAGTGTTTGAAGAAGAAAGACATCAAATGAAGTCCAGAAGAATTAGGGAGAACCTTAAAAGTCTCATATTTAGGGACTGAAAACATGGCTCAAGTAGTGAGGTCCCAAGTTTGAACCCTAGTTCTGCCAAAAATTACTTATGAAATGGAGGTTCTAGTTTTCTGTTAGGAAGAATGAGCTTTTTTTTTTAAACTCAGGGCCTAGGCACTGTCCCTGAGCTTTTTTTTGGTCAAGGCTAGCTAGCACTCTACAACTTGAGCCACAGTACTACTTCTGGCTTTTTCTGTTTATGTGGTACTGAGGAATTGAACCCAGGGCTTCATGCATGCTATGTAAGTACTCTACCACTCAGCCACCTTCCTAGCCCCAAAATGAGCAAATTTTCAAATGTTATTAGTGGATTTGGCTAGTAAGGACTGCTGTGAGGAGTCTGAAGGATGAGGGGGCCTGTGGGCTCTCACTTTCAACAGCATTTCGTAAGAACCTTTTAATATGCAGTACCCCTACCTGTTTCAGGCCCACAATTTTTTTTCCTGCCAGAAACTCTGACCGACTTGATCTGTTTGTTGCAAAACCTGTCTAAAACCAACATGAGGCAATTTAAAGTCTTTATTCTGTTGTATGACTATGCGTGTTTTTTGTTTGTCTTTTTGGTAGAGATATTAATCCATTTGGTCACAGCATACTACTCTAGGTCCTGTAGGGCTTGAAATGTCTTTTCTAGTATCTCATGTAAGTCCTGAATTACCTTACTTTTTTCTTAAACTATATATCTCAAGCTGCCTTTGAACTCTTTATTCTCCTGCCCTGGCCTCAAGAACTGATACTACAGGTATATGCCTCCACACCCAGTTTTTATTGCTTTCACGCATTTATTTTCTTACTTAGAAACTTTTTAGTAGTTCTCTAAATCCTAAAACTTTTAAACTGGCTTAACCTTCCTTTTTTCCCCCTCTCTTTAAAAAAAAAAACTTTATGTGGTACTGAGGAATGGAATCCAGGGCCTCATGCCTGCTAAAGGAAAGCTCTCTAGAGGCACCCTCTCAGCCTCAACCCTCTTTTTTTTTTTTTTGGTCAATGGTGGAGCTTGAACTCAGGGCCTAGGCACTGTCCCTGAGCTTTTTTTGGCTCAAGGCTAGTATTCTGCCCCTTTGAGCGACAGCTCTCAAACCACTTCCAGTTTTCTGGCAATTAATTAGAGATAAGAGTCTCACAGACTTTCCTGCCTGGGATGGCTTCAAACAGTAATACTCAGATCACAGCCTCCTGAGTAGCTAGGATTACAGGTGTGAGCCACCCGTGCCTTGCGATCCTCCTTCTTCTTCTTGGGTATTTTTTTTTTTTTCTTGTTGGTCATGGGGCTTGAACTCTGTGCCTGGGCACCGTCCCTAAGCCCTTCAGCTCAAGGCCAGCACTATACTACATGAGCCACAGTACCACTTGCAGTTTTCTGGTGGTTAACGAGATAAAGAGTCTCATGGACTTCCTTGCCAGGGCTGGCTTTGAACTGTGATCCTCAGATCTCAGTCTCCTGAACAGCTAGTAGAGCCAAGGGTGCCAGGTTCCTCCTTTTTTTTAAGTGTTGTTTTCTTTGCATACTATCGTACATTTTCTTTGTGTCCTGTGCTTTTTCATCTCAATATTTCTGAGCATGTGTGGTGGCTTTCTTTTCTATTTTGTGTTTATGGATGTTAGCACATTCCTTTGTCTCCTGTCTGCTGAACTCCAACTTGTTCTTTACATTCCCATTCAGATTTTTTTCTTGTCCTAAAGCCATTCTAGATTACTTTAGACTGAAAGAGACCCTTTCTCTTTCTGTACTTTTTCATAATCAGGCTTTGTCCCTTTCTCAAATATAAATACTCTAAGGACACAAGCTTAGTTCATTCTAAAATTCTTTAGTTATTCATTTTTTTCAGTATCGAGGTTTGCACTTGGCCTGACACTAGCTAGGCAGTCATGCTCTCGTCCCCTTTTGCTTTTTTTCAGGCCTTATGTTTTTGCCTGGACTGACCTAGATGGCATTCCTCCTGATTAAGTTTCTCTAGTAGCTGAGATCATAGGCCTTGGCTGGCTTCAATTACCTCCAAATAGCTGAGATTCCAGGTTTCACTACCATTTTTTACAGCACTAGGAATATACTATGTAGGTTCAACAAATGCCATTCTTACACTTGCTAAATACCTACTGTGTGCATGTTTGAAAGCTCCTAAAATGATGGGGAGTAGATCTATCAAGAAATTATTCTAATTTCATACAGGATGAAGTAAGTGTTAAGACAGAAATGCTTTTGGATCCTGGAGCAAGCTGTGGATATATGAATTATAACGAAGAGGTGTTGAATGTTCTGTAGGAGGTTGAGAATTTGTGGCCTGTAAGATAAACCAGTTGGTATGCAGATTTGGAACAACTCAGAGTCCAGTAGAATACTTCCTTTTTTGTTCTAAAATGATAGCATTTAACATGATATAATTATTTTGACTTCATGAAACTTTGGGGAAATTGCACATTTCTCAAATCTTTAATTTTGGAATTAAAGATTAATTTTTATGGAACTGGCTTAGAGCTACACTTAACATTCCTGTGATGTACTGATGTTTTTGTTTTCCCTACCAGTTCATTGAAGCTGACTTTCTCCATATTTGTGTATCTGTTGACCTTTTCCTGTCCTGTGTTTTGTTGCAGATGGAGTGGATGGAAAGCAAGCCCGCAGAACCAATTCCAGCACCCCCTTAGGGGAGCTTTTTGACCATGGCCTGGATAGTTGGTCATGCGTCTACTTTGTTGTGACTGTGTATTCCATCTTTGGACGAGGAACCACTGGTGTCAGTGTCTTTGTTCTTTATCTCCTGTTGTGGGTAGTCTTGTTCTCTTTCATCCTGTCCCACTGGGAAAAATACAACACGGGGATTCTTTTCCTGCCATGGGGCTATGACATTAGCCAGGTGGTAAGTATGCATTGCTGCCTTCACTTTTCAACCTTGCTATGATAGTTTTAGAAAAGTGATTGCCATTTCTTTCTTTATTACTCTTAGGCATTTTTGGATAGAAATTGTGCTTTTAAAATTGAGTTGGTTGGCAGATTCTAGTGGCTCATGTCTGTAATCCCAACTACTCAGTAGGCTGAGATCTGAGGATCACAGTTTGAAGCCAGCCTAGGCAGGAAAATCCATGAGACTCTTACCTTCAGTTAACCAGCAAAAAGCCAGAAGTGGAGCATGGCTCATGTGGTAGCTAGCCTTAAGCAAAAAAGCTCAGGGACAGCACCCAGGCCCTGAGTTCGTGCACCAGGACAGGCACAAAAAAAACCCCACAAAAAACAAAAAAAAATTTGAGGAAATTAAGAGAGTGGCTAGCAGCCCCAGCACCAAAAAATACTTAAAAAAAAAAAAGACCGTTTAATTTTTACTTACTTACTGAAGATCTCAAATGTATATAAAAGTAGAGACTATCATAATGAACCTGTATGTATCCATTACTTAACTTCAGCATTTAGCAGTACAGAAGGCCAGCCCTCTCTTAGTCACTTCCCAGTATTTTCAAGGAAATGTGATAAATATTTTACTATGTATCTCTGACTAACAAGTGCTCCTAAAACAACATAATGGCACTGTTAGGAAAGGCAGGAAGACCCACCCCATACTGAATTTAAGCTTACCTCCTGTTTCTGCTAAAACTGTTTGACTAGACTTAATGCTGCCCAAGCATTGTTGGCTCCCTGGTCTTCTCAGCTGCTAATGCCTCTGTGTGTTTTGTCTGTATTTTCCTTCCAGACTATTTCTTTTGTCTACATAGTGACTGCGGTTGTGGGAGTTGAGGCCTGGTATGAACCTTTCCTGTTTAATTTCTTATATAGAGACCTATTCGCTACAATGATTATTGGTAAGAAGCTTGGTGTGGAAGTGTATTTCACCATCCCTTTGTTATCAAAAGCTAGAGTTTGACTGTCCCAGCTCCTGCCCTACAGCAAGCAGATCTGAATGCTCCCAGTTTTCATAATGAATGGTTCTGTTGCCCTTCTGAGGTAGCGGAAGGGATGTCTGGGGGTAGTTGACTGAGTTTAGGAGACTGTTAGTGGTATGGAAAGAGGAAAAGGAGAAGAGGACTCTAGGTTATTTTGGAGGCCCCAGGAGCGATAAGGACCTTTGTAGAAATAAAAAGCATATGTGTTAGGTTATTGCTTGATTCCCTTAACTAAAAAACAGTCCTGTCTCTATTTATAAGCCCTGATAATAGAATGGGAATTTGGTAGGGCTTAGATACAGTTGAAGGTGTCTGCATTCACTACTTTCAGGAAAGGCGTGGTTTGGGACTTTTCCTGCAACTCTGGATGGCAAAAAGTTTAAAAACTACTCTGTAGTCTACCAGATAGTCACTTTTTGGTATTTGCATATAGACAGTTATTTATTATTTTGAAATTTTTCTTTATCGTTCTTTTTTTAAAACTTAAGCAGTCTGTCCTATGGCAGTTCCTGCAGTGTATTTATTTTTATTTTTTTATTATCTTAAGGTAATTGTACAAAGGAGTTGCCATTCAACAAAGACATTTATGAATGATTAGGGTCAACCATTTCATCCTCCCCATCACTACCCATCTCACCCCTTTCCTTAATTGTCTTTTACAGGATACGCATTGAATTTTATGACTTCATTCTCCCTCTCTTCCTCTCCTCATTTGTCTACCCCTTCCACACGTATCAATTTGTGTGTGTGTGTGTGTGTGTGTGTGTGATACTGGGGATTGAACCAAGGGCCTCATGCATACTAAGGAGATGATATGCCTCTTGAACCATACCCCTACCTGTTTTTATATTTTGGGCTTTTTTTTTTAATGAAAAAATCTTATGTTCTTTGTAGCCTTTTTTTTTTTTTTTTGAGATAAGCTCTTGCTTTGTAGCCTAAGGTATCCCAAAACTCCAGTCCTTCTGCCTCAGCCTCCCAAATACTGGGATTATAGTTATGTGCCACTATACCTGGTTTATTGTTTTGGTGTCTTGGGAAGAGGGAGAGGGACAGCACTGAGGTTTGAGCTCAGCCTTACACATGTTAGACAGGTCCTTTGTTGCTTGAATCTCACTCTTGAGTCTTCTTTTAGTTTTATATAGTAAATTTCTATATAGTCACTTTGCTTCAACAGTTTTTAGTATCGGTGTTAATCTTACTTCTACTGTACCCTGCTCTCAAACCTCTGGGTTATATACTTACCAACATACTTAGACTTCTTTACTCTTCCTTTCTATATATGTGACTTATTACATGATGTTTTTTCCCAGAAGTCAAGGAAATTCCTTTGAGATTTTTGCAGTCAGGCCTGGTAGCAGCGTTTTGTTTAATGTTGAAATGTCTTCATTTTGCCTTATTTTTTTTTCTCCCAACATGTTGAATATGTCATCCAATGTCTTTTGGCATCCATCATTTTTAAATCAGTTCATATATCACTATAAACCTATTCTAAAGTGTTTTCTTTTGTTGCTTACATTTTCTTTTTGTCTTCAGCTTTCAAGTTTGACTATGATTTACATAGGTATGAGTTTTCTTGTCCTTGCTGTTCATTGAACTTAGTAGGTGTGTTGGGTCTGTAAGTTAATTAATTTATTTATTTAGGTTTTTTTGTGGGGGGGAGGGCAGTTCATGGGGCTTGAATTCAGAACCTGGACTCTGTCCATGAGCTCTTTTTTTCTTCAAGGATAGTGCTCTACTATGAGCCACAGCACTACTTCCTGTTTCCTGGTGGTTAATTGGAGATAAGAGTGTCATGGTCTTTCCTATCCAGGCTGGTTTTGAACCATGATCCTCAGATCTCAGCTTTCTGAGTAGCTAGGATTATAGGCATGAGCCACCAGTGCCCAGCTACTTAGTTATTTATATTTTTTATTTTTTGTCAGTTGTGGGGCTTGAACTCAAGGACTAGGCATAGTCCCTGAGCCATTTTGCTCAAGGGTAGTACTCTGTCACTTTTAGCCACAGCACCACTTCCAGTTTTAGAATGGTTAACCAGAGATAAGAGTCTCATGGGGACTTTTCTACCCAGGCTTAGTTTGCACTGCCGTCTTCAGATCTCAGCTTCCTGAGTAGCTAGGATTATAGGTGAGAACCATCAGTGCTTGGCTTAGTGTGTTGTGTTGGTATGCTGGATCTTGCTCAACTTTTTTACTCTGGCTGGTGCTCTACCACTTGAGCCAGGCTCCTCAATCTGGCTTTTTGCCTATTAATTGGAGAGAGAATCTCTCCAATTTGTCTGCCTATACTGGCTTCTGACCAGGATCCTCAGATCTCAACCTCCTGAGTAGCTAGGATTATAAGTGTGAGCCACTAGGTATAGATTAATATTTTTTAATAGACTGTGGGGATTTTTTTAGCCACAGTCCATTTCTTCAGGTCCCCCCCCTTCTTATTTTTCTATAGCTCCACTTACTGTATGTATTATGTAGATTTGCCCAATATTGCCCTACAGGTAATTTTCTGAGGGTATGTTAAGTTTTCTTCACTCTTTTATGTATTCTTTATGGTGGATGGGTTCTGTTCATCTGTCTTTAAGTTCATTGCTTTTTTTTCTCATGTTATCTCCGATCTTCTGTTAAGCTCAGCTAGTGAATCTTTCAATTAAGTTATTGTACAAACCATGTGCAGTGGCTTGTGCCTGTAATTCCAGCTATTTGGAAAGTAGAGATAAGAAAAATTGATGGGCAAAAATATAATGAGGTGTGTGTGTGAGTGGTGTGTGTGTGTGTGTCCGTCTGTCCATCTGTCCGTCTGTCCATCCGTCCCTAATCAATAAGCTAGATGTGGTAGTGTGACTGTGATTTTCACCTTCACAGACAGATGTAGATAAAAGGATTATGGTCAAAGGCTGGCCCTGGGCAAAAAAAAATGTGACCCTATCTGAAAAATAACTAAAGAAAAGAAGGTCTGGAAACATGACTCAAGTGGCAGAGTGCCTGCCTAACAAGTGAGAGGCTCTGAGTTCAAACCTCAGTTCCATCAGAAACAAAAAAAGTATCTGCCACTTAGGAGAATATAGTTCAGTGGTAGTGCTTGCCCCGCATGCATAAGACCTCAAGTTGTATTCCCAGCAGCACACAACGCGAAACAGGGCTGTAGGTATGGCTCAGGTGAAGTGCCTGCCTTTTAGGCAGACCTGCGTTAAATCCTCAATTATTTAACATAATAAAGTAGTCTGTCTGCCAAGTCCAACATCTAGATCCACTTAAAGTCTTTCTTTTGTACCCTGCAAGGTTTTGGTTGTTGAAACTGCACATAGTAATAGACCTTTTACCTAACATGCACAGACCCTAAGTTCAATATCCAGATCTGCAGAAAAATAAACTAGATTGTAACTAATGTGTCCAGAAACTTCAAATTCTGTTTCATTCTCTGGAATACTTTGTTTCTGAAGATTTAAAGTATTTGTACTGAGTGTATGGTATTGATGTCTCTGTTATTTTTTCTTCAGTTTGATCTCTTAGGGGGTGGGGAGTCTCCTTGAATGTCTGTGTAGTTTAGCAGTCAGCTAAAGATTTGCCTAAAGTTGATATTGAGAGTTTAGTGCTTGCTTGTCTGTGGTTTCTTTGTTTCTGGAGTTTCTCATCTTGAATCTCCACAGTGCTGTGCCAGTCACTTGTTCTACCCATTGACTCCCAAGACAGTAAGTCAAGCCCAAGCTTGACTGTAGATGGGAAATGCACTTAGAGAAAGCCCCAGCAGGCTGGGGTGGAACTCAGTGGTAGCGCACTTGCCCAGCATGGCAGAGGCCTGGCATTTGAACCCCATCACTACAAAAACAAACAAAAACGTAGGTGCACCAAACGGACAGAACAGTTCTGCTTTTCAGTCTCTGATTTTTGCCCTGTAGTTTGTCATGTTCTTTGTAATCTATTTTCTTACTTAGTTTAGCAACTAGTGAGGAATTTGGGCAGAGTTTATACTCAGGTTTTGATGCTTTGCCTTTCACTGTTTCTTCTAAAAATGCTCTCCCTGTACCCCATTAAATTTCCCATTCCTCTGCTGCTCTCAATTCTTTCTCATCCTCTACAAGCTGGTAAGGAGCCTGTAGCTTTCTACATCTTGGGCTCAGACATGAAAGTAGGCAAGCTTCAACCTTGCAGTTGTTCCCAATGTTACAAGTGTAAGTGCCTCTCTAGTTTCCTGTCTTTGCCTGTTCACTAGTTCCTTCAAGTAGTTATATAATTTTTTAAACTATTTAAAATTATTTGTGAAATTGCCTTGTTTCTTTCTGCCCTGGTTAACAGATATCCTTCCTTTTTTAAATTAGCATACATACATTAATTGTATCTTCCTTCCTTTTGATTAGTATTAGGTTTGTGTGTATACCAGTACTGGGGCTTGCCTGGCTTTTTTTGCTCGATGCTGGGGCTCTCCCACATAAACCACACCTCCACTTCCAGCTTTTTGATGGTTAATTGGAAAAAAGAGTCTCTTGGATTTGTCTGCCTGGATTGTCTTTGAGCCGTGACTTTGGATCTCATCTTCTTGAGTAGCTAGGATTACAGGGGTGAGCCACCAGCGCCCGGCTATCCTTCCTTTTTTTAATTAGCATACATACATTAATTGTATCTTCCTTCCTTTTGATTACTATTAGGTTTGTGTGTATACCAGTACTGGAGCTTGCCTGGCTTTTTTTGCTCAATGCTGGGGCTCTCCCACATAAACCACACCTCCACTTCCAGCTTTTTGATGGTTAATTGGAAAAAAGAGCCTCTTGGATTTGTCTGCCTGGATTGTCTTTGAGCCATGAATTTGGATCTCATCTTCTTGAGTAGCTAGGATTACAGGTGTGAGCTACCAGCACCATGCTGTCATTATGTCACTCAACACATTTCATCTTTGTTGAGGAGTCAATTCAACATATACTAGGGAACTATAACTTGTAAAACAATATATTTAAGAAGTCTAGCTATCACTACCCTACTCCTCTCTTCCTTCATGGTTAGCCACTGTTTGAAATCCTATAGCTTACCTTTTCATTGTTTCTTTATTGGAAGTAAATTATATATTATGTTACCACCCCCTTTTACAACTAATAGTAGTATTTTTTACATACTTTGCCTTTTCCCCACTCAGGTTACTTCATAAATATGTACCAAGGACTTCCTCATTTCTTCTTGCATCTGTGGCTCTTTCATTTTGTAGATATACCATGGTTTGTTCAACCAGCCTCCTTTTGATAAATATTTGGATTATGTCCAGTCTTTTCCTGTTATACAGTTTGTTTGAGTACATAGTATTGTACATGCATCTTTTTATAGTTTTGTCAGGATATGAAGTGTTTATTTCCAGTTTTGCCAACATAGTATATTGTCAAGCATTTTCAAATCTAATAGGTGAAGATTTAGGTAACATCTATAGTTTGATTTGCATTTCCCACAAATGAACTTTCTTAGTGTTTTACAACCATATGTATTTCTTTTCTATATTTAGTCCACTTTTCAATAGAATTGTCGACCATTTCCTTTATTTTCAGAAGTTCATTGTCTTAAATGTGATAATCCTTTATTTTGATATAAACTAACTTCTTGTTTGTTAGCACTTTTACTTGGTATATGTTTATCCATATGGGACTTGGTCATGCCATGGCTTGAACTCAGGACCTCTTGTCTTGTTTGGGTTTTTCTCTCATGGCTGGCATTTTACCAATTGAGTCATGCCTCCAGTCTGGTTTTTTTTTTGCTGTTAATCAAAGATGGACTTTTTTTTTAACTTTCTGCTTAGGCTAGCTTCCTGACTACCTAGGATTACAAGTATGAGCCACCAGTACTTGGCTACTTTTCTGATTGATTTATTGATCAATTTTGATTTTGAAATAGGGCTGGTTTGAACCCGGGTTTGAACTCAAGGCCTTTGAACTCAAGCTGGTGCTCTACTACTTGAGCCACACCTCCAGCTCTGACTCCCATTCTCATTGGTTATTTTCAGATGTCTTGAGGACTTTGCTTGCCTTAGCTGGCCTTGAACTATGAATCCTGCTGCACTTAGCTTTGTGAATAGCTAGGATTACAAGTGTGAGCCACAAGCGCCTAGCTTTATATATATAGGTGCTGGTCCTGGGGCTTGAACTCAGGGCCTGCGCACTATCACTGAGCTTTTTTTGCTGAAGTCTAGCATTCTATGACTTGGACCATGGCACCACTTCCAGCTTTTTCTGCTTATGTGGTACTGAGAAATCAAACCCAGGGCTTCATGCATGGTAGGCAAGCACTCTACCACTAAGCCACATTCCCATCCTTTAAAATATTTTATATAACTACATAATCCTTATATTTCATTTATGTAATCTTTTTGTTTTTCTAATAAATTCTTCTCTCCCTTCCTTCTTTCCTTCCTTCCTTCCTTCCTTCCTTCCTTCCTTCCTTCCTTCCTTCCTTCCCTCCCTCCCTCCCTCCTTCCTTTCTTTTCTTTGTCATAGGGTTTGAACTCAGGGTTTGGGTGCTGTCTCTGAGCTCTTTTTGCTCAAGGCTCACACTCTACCATTTTGAGCCATAGCTCTACTTCCAATTTTCTGGTGATTAATTGGAAATAAGAGTCATGGATTTTCCTGTCAAGACTGGATTTGAACCAAAAAATCCCCAGATCTCAGCCTCCTGATTACAGGCATTACAGGCATGAACCACTAGCACCCAGCTTTTCTATAGCAATTATGTTTCCATATTATGGGATCTAGGCCTTTAATTATGGCAGTTTGATAACATGTGTGTGTGTGTGTGTGTGTGTGTGTGATTGTATGTGTTCGTTTGTGTTGTCACTACTATATATTTGAAATACAATGTACTTGTAAATCTTTTTTTGGGGGGGGGGTTTGGTCATGGGGCCTGAACTCTGGGCCTGGGCGCTGTCCCTCAGCTCTTCAGCTCAAGGCTAGCGCTCTACCACTGGAGCCACAGCGCCACTTCCAGCTTTTTTGTGTTTGCTTATGTGGTGCTGAGGAATCAAACCCGGGGCCTCATGCATGCAAGGCAAGCGCTCTACCACTAAGCCACCTTCCCAGCCCCATACTTGTAAATCTTAAGCTATTAAGTGCTCTTTACATATATTACAGTAAATTCTATATAAGGAAGAAATAATAAAAATAGTCTTTTGCTTTGACAGCCTTGAAATGGAGCAAGCTGCTGAAAGTTTCTGAGGATGTTTATATTCTTCTTCTAAGATTGTCTGATCTTGCAAACTTTATTTCAGTTGGGCTTGGAATAAAGCCTACTGGAATAAAGCTTGGAATAATATTTTAAGTCAGTGTCTTACTACATAGCCCAGGCTGGCTTGGAGCCTGCTGTGTGGCCCATTCTAGTCTGGAGTTTGGGATTCTTCTAGTCTAGCTTCTCAAATGATGGGATTATAAGTATACAACCCAAGCCTGGCATATTTCTTTTGAGAAAAGATTTTTGTTGAGTTTCAGGCTTTTCATCATTTTACCCAACTATTTTGGGAATTTTGTGGTGGTCGGGGGATTGAGTCAAGAGTTTCACTATGTAGCCTTGACCGGTGTGGAATTCTCAATCCTCTTGCCTCACTCCCCCTCCGCCTCCCACACACCATCACCAAGTGCTGGCATTACAGGTGTATGTCATCACCATACCAGTTCAGGAATTGTTCTAAAAGAATGCTTTGTGTCTTGTTAGATGAGGTCCTGGCTACATCAACCTTCAAACCAAAATAATCAGCAGGAGTCTAGAGTAAACAAACTAGGGCTAATGTGTTATGAAGCATCCAAGGAATTGTCCAATTATATTGTTTTAGACATTGGAAGACAGACTGATTAAGAATTTACATACGTGTACACTTCAGTGTAATATTTTTTAAGTTGTAATGAACATTAGAGAACCATTTGACCCATCCTCATTGTACAGCTTGACTTTGAAATTCAGAGAGATTAATTTGTATCAGGTGTAATATAACATAGCTACTCACCTGCTGGTTGAGCTTAAGAGAAGCCCCTCAGCCACTTGTGATTGTACAGGCCTATAATTTCAGCACTGGAGAGCCTGGGAAGTAAGTACTACAGTGTGTTCTAGCAAGATGCTGATTCAGAGAGGCAGTATATAGAGGATGAAAAGAGAGGGGAGGAGGGAGACAAGTAGAAAGATTCTCTGATGGAGAGTAGAGTGCTCCATTAGGAATGTGCAGGTCTAGTTGCCAACAGAGTGACACAGGCAGCTGGTCTGCAAGGACACCAGGGAGGGGAATTGCAAAGGCCAGATAGAGGAAGAAATGGCAGTTAGTACTGTCAGCCAACAAGAAGAAAATGGATTAGGAAACTTGGTAAATGTTAAGACTCCTTTCTGCAGAATAGGGACAGAATAAATAAAATGGCAAGAAAGTGAAAGCAAACAAAAACCATTATTAATGACAGGAAAAGACAGAGTGGGGTATGGTAGCAGAATCAATGGCAATAGCTCTTGGAAATGCCATCCTGTGTTTAGGTTTAAGGGGAAGAGTGAGGGTGGGAGTAGGGTGGAGAAGAGTAACAATTCCAGGGAGGTAAAAAATAAACTTAAACAGGAGGAGGCAGGATCTGCTTACAGCTCCGCTTCCAGTGGCACACGCTTGCAAGTTACTCTATGCCAGGTACGATTCCCCGTGTCCTTCAGTGTGGTCATTCACTCAATCCTCAGGATGCTATGGGTTAGTACTACTCTTGTATTTTACAGATGAGGCAGTGGAAAGGACCCTTGACTAAAGTCACTTGCTTATGTGCCCCGTTGGCTTGTACAATCAAAGTTGAGGCCCACACTGCCTTCTGGAGTCCACTCTGACTCACCAGACTGTACTGCCACTTACATTGTAGATGTTCATTGGAAAGGCATTTAATTTTATTACAGAACAAATTGGAATATAAAAATGATATTGGGCATTTTGCATAGATTCTATTATGATAATATAATCTCTCTTGACTAATTCATGATAGTTTAAATATTCTTCCCTTTAGGTTGTGCAATATGTATGACTCTTCCAATGAGTTTATTAAACTTTTTCAGGTAAGTATTTTATTTTTGTAGATGGGCAAAAAAATAAGAAATCTTCAGAAATTGTTAGTTAGGTGAATATAAGGATTGATTTACTATTTAGAATCTAGGCATTTTGAAAAGGTCATGAAACTTGTATTTTGAATCTAGATGAGGCTGGGACAATTTAGATGGTATGTAGTGGCTAATGTAGCTAATTAAGCCATAACATAAAACTTTTAATTCTTTTGTGATGGTTTTAGGCTTACTAGTCTTCCACTTGGTCACTTCTGTGAGGGAATCTGCCTACAGGGAGGGGAGGTTTTCCTGTTGGATATTGATGGTTTTTATAAACGAATTATCTTAAAGTATATTAACAAGATCATACAATAAAACTTCTGAATATGAATTTTTACTATCACTTCTCAGAGAACAGTTACATAAAAGCAGGGTTTGGAGGCATCATAAGGGGGGAGTTTCATTTCTTGTCCACAGTACTACTACATCCTAAGTATGTTACTTTCTTCAGTAATGTTGCGCAGGCCATTTACTACTTCCCCCTCTACTTGAAATACTTGCTTTTTGTTGTTGTTGGTGGTGGTGGTTGTGGGAGCTGAACTCTGGGCCTGGGCGCTGTCCCTCAGCTCTTCAGCGCAAGGCTAGGGCTCTACTAGTTGAGCCACAACACCACTTCCAGCTTTTTCTGCTTATGTGGTACTGAGGAATCAAACCCAGGGCCTCATGCATGTGAGGCAAGCACTCTACCACTGAGCCACCTTCCCAGCCCCTGCATTTTTCTTTTTAACATTTACTTTTCAAATCTGTCCTGCAGAATCTTCTTCCCCTTCCCCTCCACCCTTTCCCCTTTCTCTTCTTTCCCAGTCCCTCTTCCCATTCCTCTTTCCCCTTCCCCCTTTCCTTTCACTGAACTAGGGTTCGAACTCAGCACCTTAGACTTCTAGGCAGACTCTACCCTAAAGCCCTACCACTGGGCCTTTTTTGCTTTAGTTACTTTTAGGTGGGGATTCCTGTTTTTGCTGGGTTCTGGCTTCCTCCTGGTAGCTGCAATCATGCCACTAGATGGTCAGTCTCACTACGTTTGCGTGGGTTAGCTTCAAAGTCAGTCCTCCTGGTCTATACCTCCTGATTAGCTAGAATTACATGTGTGAACCACTATGCCCAGCCTGTCTCCAGGCCTGTTTTGAAGAATCTTATCAATGTTATGTCAGGCTCTATAAATCTCCCCTATTTCTTGTGTCTTGTGGCCCTTTATATAAGAGCCATTAACTTAAAACTCTGACTTTTGTAGAGATCATTTGAGTGGTTGCTTTTCTTATTTTTTTTAAAGTTTTTTAAAAACTAATTTTACTGTATTTTTTGTTTATGTGGTACTAAGGAATTAAACCCAAGTCCTTATGCATTCTAGGCAAGCATTCTGCCACTAAGCCACATTCCCAATCCAAATGATTCCTTTTCATCTTAAAACAGTGAGGCTTTTAGGACAACAAATTGCTCAATATTTAGGACAATGTTGATCAATGTCTAAATCAAAACTAGAATTGAGGCTCTGCTCAGATGAACAAACAAATATGAAATTACTTCCTGTGTGCTTAGAGACATTAAGATATTATATGTCTCACATAGTGGGGAACTTTTGTGTGAGAAACATTCCTAGTTCTGTGTCACTTTGTATCCAAGTGGCACAGTAAGATACTATTGGTATTTTATGTTCATTTTATTTCCACTCGGTATTACTAGAATATCTCACAGAACAAAGGCCAAGTTGTATTCGCCTTTATGTTCTTGAAACAGCAATGGATTGATTTAAAGAGGACAAAAAGAAAGGTTAGGATTCTGAAGACTCAGACTATGTAAATTTAGATTCCCTCATCCTACTGAGCCTATCTGTAAAGTGGGATTCATACTGCTGGTTCTATCAATGCATGGATGACATTACTGTGAGCATAAAATGTGAAGAAATGTGAAAGTACTTTGGAAATAACAAAGTGCTATACAGTATGGTTTATGTGTAATAATATTCTTTGTATTGATTTTTTTTCAGAAGCTATAAAAATAACACCTTGAAACACAATTCAATCTATGAAGCTATGGTTCCCTTCTTTTCTCCATGTTTGCTCTTCATTTTGTCTACAGTGTGGATCCTCCGGTCACCTTCAGATATTTTAGAGATTCATCCTAGAATTTTCTACTTTATGGTTGGAACAGCATTTGCTAACAGCACAGTAAGTTCCCCCCTCTCCCTTTTTCTTTTTTTTGCTGGTTCTGGGGCTTGAACTCAAGGCCTGTGTTTTGTCCCTGAGGGTCTTTGTGCTTAAAGCTAGTACTCTACCACTTGAGCCACAGTCGGCTTTTTCTGAGTAGTTTATTGGAGATAAGAGTCTCATGGACTTTCCTGCCCAGGCTGACTTTGAACTGTAATCCTCATATGTCAGCCTCTCGAGTAGCTAGGATTACGGGCGTGAACCACCAGTGCTTGGCTTTTCCACCCCTGGTGGAGTGGCTTAAGTGGTAAAGTGCCTGCCTAGCAAGAGCAAGACTTTCAGGTTCAAACTACAGTGACAGAAAAAAAAAACTAATTATATTAGGTGTATATGACAATTTAATAACTTAAGAATGCTTAGTATTTGCACCAGCAGATTTTAATGTAGAGGTAATAATATAGAACTTTGAAAGAATAAGTAATAAATAAAGTCCCAGACAGAATGTGCTGAAACATTATTTTGATCTTTGACACCAGTGTGATTTGGACACTGATAATTTGCAAGCTCTTACAAGTTTTTGATTGTTAGCCACTAAGCTTCTTTTCTATTAAACATTTGTTGATCATCTCAAATCCTATGATTTGACAGTGCAAAACTGAGTTGGAAAGCTCCAATGCATTATATTAAAAGTTACCTCGTAAAACAAAACATATTTGAGTAAGTAAAGTGTTAAAAAAAAAAGGGGAACTGAAGAAACTCTGAGGTTCTGATTTATTAACACTAAATTAGAGGTGCAGCTTCCCTTGTACTGTGAAGAAATTTAGTCGTCTGGGATGTAGGAGAATTGTGAAACAGAGAAAATAGTTTTATCTGACCTTTTTACTCAGTGGAAGAATGCCTTCTATTGCATCCTTCCTGAATTATCTAACAGTCTCTTTTGACACTTAATTATGAAGGTGTGTGTTTGGGGGTGGGGTCAGGGGCCATTTGGATATCTAAGTAGTTAACTGACCTTAATAGAAATGTGTTGGCTCAACTTCGTAAATACTTTTTAAGTGTCTGTGTGACTAGTTCTAGAAGTTCTTTGCTAATTTAACTTTCTTTTTTTTTTTAAATTCATTCCTTACTTTCCTCTCTCCTTGTCTTCTCTCCCCCTTCCTTGTTTCCCTCCTCCTTCTCTGTTTTCTTCCTTTCAGTGTCAGCTGATAGTTTGTCAAATGAGCAGCACCAGGTGCCCAACTTTGAATTGGTTGCTGGTTCCTCTCTTCTTGGTTGTCATGGCAGTGAACTTGGGAGTGGCCTCTTACCTTGAGAGTATTCTCCTTTATACATTAACAGCTGTCTTCACTCTGGCTCACATCCATTATGGAGTAAGAGTGGTGAGTAATCTAGAACAAAATTATTTCCACTTGTTTCAATAGCAAGTAGACTAGAAAATTTCAAAAGAGAGGTTTTTTTTTAACATAGTAAGCTGGGATTTTAGAATATTCTGTAGATTTTGGATAATATCTAAATGTGTAATTTTAGATTTTTTTTTTTTTTTTTGGTTAGTCATGGGGCTTGAACTCAGAGACTGGGTGCTGTCCCTGGGCTTTTTCTGCTCAAGGCTAGCACTCTACCACTTGAGCCACAGCACCACTTCCAGTTTCTCTGGTGGTTAATTGGAGGTAAGAGTCTCACAGACTTTCCAGCCTGGGTTTGGCTTTGACCTACGATGCTTAGATCTCAACCTCCTGAATATGTAGAATTATGGACATGAGCCATCAGCACCTGGCTTACATATTGCTTTGTTTTTTTTCTTTTAATGCTTATGTCTTTATAACTGCAAATGATTTTAAATCTGGGGAATTACTATGGATATTAGTTTTCATTTTAAGTGGTATATATATAAGCCACTTTTTTGTTGAGTAGAATTGTAAACTGTTCTGTAATTTTAATTTTGTTAGCCACCACATAATCCCATTTTTTTTTTTTTTTGGTCGGTTGTGGGGCTTGAACTCTGGGCCTGGGCGCTGTCCCTCAGCTCTTCAGCTCAAGGCGAGCGCTCTACCGCTTGAGCTACAGCGCCACTCATAATCCCATTTTTAATCCATTTCTTCCAAAATGTTTCTGTAACATTAGAGAAATTTTTTTGCTCATCACTGTAATTCAGAAAAAAACTAAAATTTGGTTTTGTAATTTTTTTTTCCTCCACTCTCCAATGCTATGAGCAATGAAGTAAAGAGTGGTTAGAATTTCAGATGAGAAGGCTTTTACTTTATTTGAGGTTTTATTTCATGAGTCCTCATCAATAAAAATAATAAATGTGTAGGAAATGTAGACAAAAATGATTTTAAGGACTATTTTTGCAAATTTTAATAGTAGTTTCAGGATGAATGGACATATACAATTATAAGTACCAAATTTAATCATTGTACCCCAGTCACTTCCATAGTGATTGAGTTTCCACTATTATAAATAAAGTTGTTAACAAGCTGGAACCACAATATTTTATTTGTTTTATATTCTGAGGATAATTTAATTGAATGGGTTGATTGACATTTTGTGGTATTAGCTTTTGTTTTGTATTCTTATTGAAAGGAATCCCCTGTGAGTCTGAGGAACAAAATGTCTGTATTGTGTACATGTTTTGAATGAGGGGACTGCTGTCATGTTTACTAACAACTTCATTCCCACTGTGTGTTCTTAGACTTCCTTCTCTTAATATTTGTCCCCCAAGTAGTCCTTATTTGCTAGGGAGAACAGCATGTTCACCTTATTTGTGGGTTTACTACATACAGTTTTGAACAAACACAATTGGAAAACTCATAATTAAGAAAAAAAAATTATGGGGCTGGGAAGGTGGCTCAGTGGTAGAGCACTTGCCTTGCATGCATGAGGCCCTGGGTTCAATTCCTCGGCACCACATAAGCAAAAAGAAAAAAGCCGGAAGTAGCGCTGTGGCTCAAGTGGTAGAGTGCTAGCCTTGAGCTGAAGAGCTGAGGGACAGCGCCCAGGCCCAGAGTTCAGGCCCCACGACTGACCAAAAAGAAAAGAAAGAAATTACAATTATGAAAAGCTTCAATTTCCTCTCGAGCATCACATAGCCCGGTTGACATGAAGAGGCTCTCAGTTTTTCCTGTCACACAATTTAAGGAATTGTGTGAACTGCTAATGTGTTTCCCTGCCAGTCATTAATTTTATGAAAGCTTGTCTCCCAAAAAGCAAATGGTGCTCTAAAAGCCAGGTAAAAGTTAATGTATTTAATTTAAATGGGAAAGTGAAAGATTGAGACTGGTTGACGGGGATGGACGGTATGTCTGTAGTAGGAGTTGGGTGAGCCACCCATCTGCGGCACAGGGCCGACCTCTGTGCAGCCTGAGCGCTCCCATCTTTTCCTCAGTGGTGTGGCCTCGGGGCCACGTACCGGTAGACAAAGTAGTTATGGAAAAGAAAACTACCCAGGCTGACATAAAACATGATATTTACGTGTTTATTTGTACACATTTCATACTATAGGCTTTCTATCAACCACTGTGAGGCCCTTAGCTTCATAGTTCATCAATCATAAACATGACTAGAACAGTTGTCAATTTTTTTTATAATGGTGTTAGTTTATTATAACCCTCTAGAAACATTAGGAAGCCATATGTGTATCAGATCAAAGTACTGTTGTTTTTTTGCCAGTATTAGGAATTGAACTCAGGGCCTCATGTTCTTGCTCAACTCTTTCAATTAAGGTTGGTGCTCTACCACTTGAGTCATTTTCATTTAAATTAACATTTTCATTTAAGTCACAAAGAGTACAAGTTCATTGTAAAAAAAAATCTATAAAATAAACAAGCCTGTCTTTGTGCTCTTTCACGACTTCTGCAACTTACCAAAGGGAAACCTTTTAAGGTAATTCTTCCTCACAAAATGATCCCCTGAACTACTAAAATATAAATGATGAGTATCAAATAAATGACATCCACTAACTGACCCAAAGTAAGTTCTTCCTCCTGTAACCAGTGTGGCTTTTCTAAGTTTATAGATCCTAATTTTTCACTATTTTATCAGCATTAAAATGATTACCTAGAAATGTTTTAACATGCTGAATATTGACTCAAATGTAACCATTTGATTTAGTAGCGCGCGTGTGTGTGCGTGCATGTGTGTGTGTATGTATGTGTGTGTGTATATGTGTGTTGCGTACGTTTGTGCACGACAGTCCTCGGGGCTTGAAGTCAGACAGGGACCTGTCTCTTAACCTTTTTTGCTGAAGGCTGGTGCTCTACAACTTGAGCTATACCTCTACTTCCAGCTCTTCACTGATTAATTGGAGATAGTGTTTCTCAGACTATGCTGCCTGAGCTGGCTTTGAACCAGGATCTTCAGATCTCAGCCTTGTAAGTGGTTAGATTTACAAGTGTGACCAATTGGCACCTGCCATGATTTACTAGATAATACATAGGTCAGGTTTTTAGTAGGTCCGTAAATGAGTTTTTCTGGTCTAGAAGGCTCTAGAAAGACTAGATTGTGGAGTTAGGCACATCTGGGTTCAAGTCCTAACTTCTACCACTTCGTTTTGTTCTTTAATTGTTCTACTCCAACAGAACTTCATTATTTTTTATGGCTTTTGTTGTATATATAGATTGTTGCCTTCAGTGGATAAATTGTATGCTTTAAAAAATAACAAGGCACTTTTTTTTTTTACCATCTTGTGTCTGATTTTCCATAGGTGAAGCAGCTGAGCAGCCATTTTCAGATTTACCCCTTTTCTTTGAGGAAACCAAACTCCGATTGACTAGGAATAGAAGAAAAGAATATTGGCCTCTAATCTTCAGAAAGAAGTACTGTAAATAGATGCTTGTAAATATCTCATCTATCACCATTGAACCAAACTGATCTGCTTGACAGACATGGGATTTCAGTGTGTATGGTACATGGACAGCAGGAACAGAATGTGATCTGAGCTTGTGGAACTTTGGACCTTTGAACTCCCAGCTTACTTTATTTTTTATAAAACCATGTGATGTTTGGGTTAAGTGTAATAATGTACCTTAGACCAGCAAGGTGTTCCTAATGATTTTAACTTCATGAATCCATAGTGTCTTTGTTTTTTAAAAGAACCAAATTGATTTAGGAACACTGACTACATTCAGAAAATCCCGTGTTTTCATAGTTGGTATTTTATAACAGGTCTTTAGCTATGGAAACTATCAGTAGTCCAAACTAACTGAGAAAGAGAAAAAAAAAAAAGTCACCTTCAGCCAGAGATGCCAATGGTTGCAGAACAATATATATTTGCCAAATTCTGGTTTCTGTTTTTTCTGTGGAAATACCTTTGTCTTCACATGTTAAAAGAGTCTCTAATATTCTGGCTATTACTGAACAGATCTTGATAAGTGGTCTGTTTTTCTTGTAATGAGAAATACTCTGTTGATACATGGTACAGAATGAGTTTTGATTGTATCTCATGGATTGGCACAGTTAATTGCTTAAGTATAGCAATCCCCCCACTGAGGGTTGCTGGGATTGGATATCACTGAGCTGTTATTGAGAATGTATGTCTGTCCCAGCCTAACAGATAACTGCTTGTGAGGAATGTAAATGAAGTACCTTCAAAGAGGAAATGGAAATTGGAGCTAGGATTCTCATGAACTTCACTAGGACTGAAATTAGTTGTCTTGACTCAGTTTGTCTGTTCCTCTTAGTGTATTCTCCTCTTTGGGAATGAGGTGCTGGTTTGTTTGTTTTCTTTTCTCCCATACAGGATAAAGCAGAGAGAAAAATCTCTCTTCCTTGTCTATTTCCCTCCTAGAAGAAAACTTTTGATATTTATGCCTTACTGGGTACTTATTCCCTTAAATGACTCAGAGTAATTTTTTAGGTTTACTAGCAACAGAAATCCCTTTAACTTTATTGAGGTTGTTTATAAATCACTTCTTGTCATGAATGTAGATATTTTCTTCTTTTTCTTTTTGACTTTGTCTTCATTTAGTTTGGTGGTGGTGAGATTTTTCTTGCTGATTTTCTTTTATTTTTCCACTTAATGAAGTTTGTGCTTGAATGAAGAGTGTATCTAAAATCCTTTTAATTTTTTTGGACAGGTTGCACTTGGATAAAATAGGCACCGCTGTGTTAATATGTAATTAAATTTCATAACCTTTATTTATCTATGAATATGACCATTGTTAAATATTGTAGTTTTTGTTGAATTTCAGTTTTCTGCTTGTAAAAAAAACTGTAATTGATACTTTAATTTTGAGATGGTTAAGTTCTGATCGTTGTCATCTAGATTAGTAGAAATGAGTCAGGGACCTAGCTTGATTCTGAATTCAGTTTAAGAAATTGTGAAAGTTCAGGTGTATGGGATGACTTCTCTAAGACACAACTGAACCCTGAAAATAGATGAGAAGTAGATGCAGGACAATGGTGGGTAGTGATTCCATATTTGCTAATAAATTGCCCTCATGGAGGTCAGTGAGCAGTTAAGTGATGGGAGCTAATGTATTCCCTGGTTCTGTGTCTTCTGTAAAAAGTGAACTGCAGATAGTTAATTTGAGTAAGGAAAAGAACTTTGGTTTATAGTTTCTCAGCTAATCATTTACTGTTTTGTTGACCCTGAATACAAGAATGAGGTAATTTGCGTAAAATAACTGATATTTATAAGATGACAATTTGGACCAATGGCTTTCTCGTATACAAGGTAGTTTTGTTGTTTTTTGTTTGTTTGTTTGTTTTAAATATTCTAATTCTGGCATTAGGGTCCTGTTTTATAATCTGAAGTCTCTCTTTCTCTCTTTTTCCCTCTCTATTTTTGATGCTGGTGCTTGAACTCAGAGCCTGGTGCTCTCACTTGGCTCTTTTGCTCCCTACCACTTAAGCCACACCTTTAGTTCTTGGTTTTTGCTGGTTAATTGGAGATAAGAGTCTCCTGAATTTTTCTTCCTAGGCCGACCTCACACTTGGATCCTCAGATTCAGGCTCCTGAGTAGCTCAGATTACAGAAAGCAGCCAATGCCCAGCTCCCTCCCTCCCCTCCCCTACCCCATACCCTTTTGCTGCAGCAAGTGAATTAGAAAGTTGTTTTGTGCCTATACTTTATGGCATTTCCCTGAGGTGGCAAGGAGTTATGCTCTGGTCAGTTTTATTGCTGTTAGATGAAAGAACAGAGGCTGTCAACAGAAAAGGAAAAAACTTAGGTGGACTTCAGAATTGCTCCAGTGCTGGTGACCTTATCACTTTGGTCTGCTATCCTGAGAGTGCATTTGGAAAGCCCCTACTTCCTGTACAATGGGTACAGCAGCAGATGCAGGACTTAGAATTGTAAAAGCTCTGAGCATTCCTATTATCCAGTTACTGTAACCTGCCCAAAGTTTAAAGGATATTTCCAGCTTATCCATGATACTTTGGTGTGTCACACCCTAGCTTACATTGATCTGCCTTGTGGGGAGGAGCCTTGTAGTCCAGAACATACACGCGTGTTCCCCTACTTGCAGAATGGAGTGCCTTAGCCAGGCAAGACGTTTGCATTGTGTTTCTGCTGACCAAAGTTGCAAAGACTATAAGAAGCTTCTTTTCAGGTTGTGGTATGAAACCACTCTTGTCAGAAAATAATTCTCTTGCTTTTGAGAGTGACAAGGGATAGAAAAAAATTTTAAATACTTCCATAAAGTATGCTACCACCGCCTTTGTGATCTTTTCATAATACCCATGATCGCATGGCAACACCGTTTGAAATTGCCTTTCCCCCACAGATAGTAATAGATATAGTTTATGGGTTCTTAATAAAGGTCCATAGAGTAACTTTCAAATGAAAAAAGTAACTGTTCCTTCTTAGCATTTTAATGCTATGATTAAAATACTGGGCATTGGTGGCTCACACCAGTAATCATAACTACTCAGGAAACTGAGATCTGAGGATTAAGGTTCAAAACCAGCCCGAGAGGGAAGGTCTGTGAGACTCTTACCTCCAATTAATCACCAGAAAATGGAAGTGGAGCTCTGGCTAGCCATGAGCCAAAAAAGCTCAGGGATAACACCCAGGCCCTGAGTTTAAGCCCCAGAGCCAGCACAATTCCTACCAGCATATTATGTATTCTCAAATAGAAGTATCTGGAGACAGAGTGTCCAGAGTTACCCAAATTCTAAGATACCAAGAGAGTATTAATTATCACCTGAGCTTAGGCCTTTGGGGACTAAGGAGAAAAAAGTATAATATCCTTTTTAAAAATAAGGGACCATCTAAATCCCCTAGAAATATGAAAGTTTTTCTAAATACCTAGTTTTCAAAGAACTGGTTTAGTTAGTAGTCAGTCAGAAACCATTTGGAATCTGTCTTGCTTTCCAAAGCAGGTATTTAAACCAATACTCCTTCCCCTTCTTTTATATTTGAATTCAACCCCCTTCTGTAATTCCTCTTAATTCTTCACCTGGATTTTCTTTCACCTGGACACTTCGGACAAAGGTAGTGCACTCAGACCTTTCTTTGTTGCTTCAGATCTTGCCACATTCAAGTCTCCTTGATTGCTTTAGATCAGATCTTGACTAGTCAAGGATGGGAACTGGCTGAGGAAACAAAGTAAACCTCATGGGCTGGGCCTTTTGACTTTGGGTCCCCAATAAGCCAACACCTGATTCATAAGCCTTTGCTTTTGTCCATGCCCCTGCTCAGAGTGGCCTTATCATGACCTCAGTTCTGGGCCTGATCAAGTATTCTGTAGGAGATTTGTGAAGTCAGACCAGAATTTTCTTTGTCGCATGAGATGGTCTTTGTAAGGCAGCATGCCCTTTCTTGAACACCCTGTGGGTGGTAACCTTACTAAGTTAGCTGCCAGAAAGTACTACAAGCTTCCAAGAAGAATGTTAACTAGTATGCTGCATTTGAAGCACTTTGACATGTACATTTAAAGTTGACAGTCTTAACAGTAACATGGTGTTAAATTAATCACTGTGAAACTTGAAAGTGTGATGATGCTCCAGGCATGTTAGGAAGCTGATTTTCTTTTATTAATTATGTAACTCATGTGATTTGTATATTTTACTTACCATCTTTGACGGTGGTATAAATGACTGGTAAATGGCAGCTCATTCCTTTAGGGTACAGGATAAAAATCATGGTTGTCTAATTTTTTTTCCCCAAAAAAGTGATGATATGTTTGTTTCTTCCTTGCATGGAGCCATTGGAACTGGATTTGTCTGATTCATTTCCAGTGTTTCTACAGAAGAAAATAAATGTAATCTTATTTTTAACCTGCATGCTAGTAATATGCTTTGCTCTGTAATAAACAAATACATAAGAGATAGTAATCTAGCTGGGTTTTGTCTATTTGTTTTCAACTGTGGATCTGTTCTTTATGCAGACAGATCTTAATGAGTTCATATTTAGGGTAGGGAACTTTCTGCCATCCTATGCCCTCTCATGGGCATCCTGCACAAACAAGGGCATTGTGTTCTCTTCAGTCAGAAACAAAAAAGCTTGGTTCCTAGAACCTTGTAGTGCCACATGGACTAATTTTACAATACTTTAATAAGTGCTTATTTCTGTAGGGAAATAGATTTGGACACAACAGAAGGATTATTTAGGGCTTTCACAGATCATTCACATCATAAGTTTTTCAGAGAATCATTCTTTAAAAGCTGGGCTAGGAGTAGGCGGTGTGGCTCGATTTATAGAGCACCAGCCAATGAGCAAAAATGCCAGGTACCAAGTTTGAGTCTCAGTCTCTGACAAAAAGAAAAAGCTGTTGGTAAAGCATTCAGATAATCTAAATGCTATGTAGAAGTCAGAAACAGCAGCTGAGAGTGGCTGAATGATGTGGGTGCCTTATGTCTCTGGCTAAGGTCTCTCAAGCAGTTTCTGTGGTAACAAAATAGAAACTGAGTTGAGGCTTTTATTAAGCCATACATAGTTTGCAATATCTAAAAAGTGAATTCTGAACCTGGAATATGTTATTGAATTAGAACAGTGTTGGTAACCATGTTATTGAAAAGGCTTGATGTAACTTTGCATGGTTTATAGTATCTCTCTGAGACTTTGAGCTTAACACTACCAAAACCTCTTACAATAGTAACTTTTTTTTTTTTTTTTGTCGGTCATGGGGCCTGAACTCTGCACCTGGGCGCTGTCCCTTAGCTCTTCTGCTCAAGGCTTGCGCTCTACCACAGAGCCACCTTCTCAGCCCCAATAGTAAAAATTTTAAATAGGTTACTATTATTTTTTTAGATAACTTAATCTCAACAGAACAGCCATCCAGGAGATAAAGATCCAGCTTCATGTAATGATGTTTCTAATTTGAAAATATTCAGTATTGAATCCCAAATTCCTTTTAAAAAAAAATAGAGGAAGGCGATGAATCATTGCCAAGGTATAAAAATCCCTGCTGTCTGCCATTTCCACCTCTTGCCCCATCTAACTTAATAGATGAAGTTGATGACCAGTTTGTAGAGAAAGTAATGTCTACTTTTCTGAATAAGGGCTCATGCCCCATGGCTAATAAAAGGGGGTGGGAATCAAGATCAAGTTAATTACTGAATTGTTTGGCTTAGATCTCAGCTGACTTTCTATAGGCTTCTGGGACAAGAATACAATTCCATTCCTTCTCTCAGGTACCTAGAAGCAGCGCTGTCTGGAGCAGATGGGATGTGTAAGCTGCAAGTAGAGAATATATTGTAGAGTGGAGGATGAAGAGTGTAAAATCCTCTTTTCCAATAGTTCAATTGAACAGCTTAGTATCTGATCTGTATGGGCCTTGCTGTGTTCATAGTAAATAATAGAGCATTTATATTGTTATGTTGCTCTGTGTATATAAGCATATTTTATAGGCTCACATATTCTCTGCATATGTACGTAATATTGTATGTCCATGGGATCTAGTCTTGATTATCAGCCATATGGTAAGCCCTCATTAGACTGGTGTGTATGTGTGTGTGTATGAGAGAGAGAGAGAGACAAAGAGACAGAGAGAGACAGAGAGAATATTGAGGCTTGAACTCAGGGCCTGGGTGCTATCTTTTAGCTCTTTCACACATGGCTGATACTCTACCACATGAGCCACACCTCCACTTCAAGCATTTCTCTGGGTAATGGAGATAAGTGAGTCTTCTAGACTTTAATGCCTGGAGCTGGCTTCCAGCCACAACCTTCAGATCTCAAACTCCTGAGTAGGTAGGATTACAAATAGGAGCCACTGGCATCCGGCTTCTCATTAGATTCTTGATGTGGATCTGGCTTCTCATTAGATTCTTGATGTGGATCTGGTGTACGTGTACACACCATACAAAACTGAAGCCGCTTCCCTCCCCTCCCCCCCAACCACAGCCTTTCTTATTACCCATTTCATCTCAGGCCTGGAGAATGCCCTTTAAATCTTCCACTTGCCACTTTCTTTGGCCAGAGATTGTACGAGCCCCAAAGACAGCTTTCGAGCTTGATGGCTCTTGCCACCAAGAGTAGAGGCTTCTGTGGGTGTATGCTTGATGCTGGATTCATGTCTGGTCAGAGGGCAGCTTAGCATTTGCACCCATGGACTTGATGGGGAAAAACTCTTGTATAAATGGAGTTTTTCAACTTACTTGAAATTAATTGGCTGGCATCTTGTGGAGGAGTCTCAGATAATATGTACAATAGATCTTACCAGTACATTTATTTCAATGTTAGCTTTGCATTTTATTGCTGTTTCCTGCTATGAGCTCAGATAACTTAAGACCTGACTGTTTTCTTAGCACTGGACTCTGGAAGCCTTGGCCTTTCAACTGTTTATTTCTGCTGTGTGAACCCCAAAAGTGATGCAGTAGGCTTCAGTTT